GCAACAATATTGCCCTCGCACTTGGTCTCAGCCCTGCCAAAAGCGCACTCCGAATTGTCAGTCTCCTGACACGTACGTCTTCAGGAGGCCAAAAACCCACCTTTCAAAAACCCAGGTTTGGATCCGGTCAACAATCTTCCCGCACTAAGCAGGCGAAGTCCTCCAAGCAGGGCTTTTAACTTCCTTCCTACCGAGTCAGCTCATACGCGTCTATCTCCCTTCCTTCACACCTTCACTACAGACGAATGGGTGTTGTCCATCTTGACCCGAGGCTACCGTATCCAATTCCACCAGAACCCCATTACTCCTGTCGTCGTATCCACGCACCCTTCCCCACCTCTCTTAGAGGAGGTGTCCGTCCTTCTGCACAAAGGAGCTATCGAGCCGGTACCCCCTCATCTGCAAAGGAAGGGATTCTATTCCCGCTATTTTACAGTTCCAAAGCGAGATGGAGGCATTCAACCAATTTTAGACGTAAGAGTGTTGAATTGCTATGTGACCTACCACCACTTCCGCATGGTGTCCTTGCAGCAGATTATGCCAGTCCTGCAGAGAAACGTCTGGATAGCCACTCTCGACCTCCAAGACGCGTACTTCCACCTCACTATCCACCCCTCCCACCGCCAATATCTACGCTTCACAATTGTTCATCAGCATTACCAATATGCAGCCCTTCCATTCGGCCTTTCAAGCGCCCCAAGAGTCTTCACAAAGACTATGATTGTGGTTGCAGCCTTCCTCCGTCTAAAGGGTATTTCCATCTACCCGTACACCGACGATTGGCTCTTGGTTGCATCTTCCGAGGACGCCCTGGTCTCAAACATCAACGAGACACTGGCACTCCTGGAGAACCTGGGCCTAAAAGTCAATCAGGAAAAGTCTCAACTTCAACCGGTTCAGAAAATACAGTACATCGGTGCACTACTAGATTCCAACAATTGCATGGCTTACCTGCCACAAGACAGAGCGGCAGACATCATTTACCTAGCCAATGCCGTCCGTACCCAGCCTTCAGTCACAGCTTTCCAAATACAGAGGCTACTTGGCCTTATGGCCGCAACTACGTCGGTCCTGGTCTTTGCCAGATTAAGAATGCGTCGCCTACAACTGTGGTTTATCCGCAAGTACGACCCAACGGAAAACGCACATACCACCGTCCTAACCCCTCCTCCCAACATACGAGACTCTTTACTTTGGTGGACTGTCCCTTCCAATCTCTTCCAGGGAACACCTTTCCGCCGTCCATCACCCCAAATCACACTAACCACGGATGCCTCCCT